CCTGGAATGTAGGTGATTGCCATAACCACTAAATTATTGGGCTAAGACATGAGATGGCTTGACTTCATTTATTTCTGGCAGGTATATGCCCAGCCATGCAGGGCAATTCTGTTTTGCTAGTGTGCAAAATAGAATCTGTAAGTGTCAAAAGTATACTGATATTTCTGAGTAACAGCTTTTCAGGCTTGTAAAGTTAGATAAGATAGATGCCTAAAATATTCACCGAGGCAGGAGAAGTTGGCAAAAATATAGAGTGCGTGCCCTGCTGTACTTGAAAATAAGGACAAAGAGTTAGGCAAGGAATTTGGCACTGTGCAGAGCCTCGAAAGTAAGACCAAGGAGCTTCAGCTTAATGAAAGATGAGATAAGGAATGAGTAGAAGGAGTAGAATGTATGTGTGTTTGCTTGGGTGTTATGAGTGAAAGTTGTGTACAGGTGTAATGTGATTGGATGGTCAGATAGAGGAGGAGTGGTCAGATTTAATCCAGCTCTGTCTCTGAGTTGTATCAGGGACAACTCAGAACTGATGGTGTTAAAGGTCTCTTAAGTGAGCAGTACTAACAGAGGCAAAGATTTTTGTGGGTGATATCTGTTATGGTACCAACTGTATAGCTGGGAGGGTTATAGGCAAGCTTGTGGGTACCACTGTACCCTTCCTTGAGATTTAACCTCAGGTCTGGTATCTTGAGGTCAGGTCTTGAGGAAGGGTACAGTAGTACCCAAAAGTCTGTTTGCCTCCCAAATATACAGTTGGTCCAATAAAAGATATCATCCACAAAAATCCTTGCCTCTCACATTTTGTCTGGACCATCATGGCTACAGCATCCCCCCAACTTTACCAGTACTAATAAAGATGGTTTCCCTATGGGTTTCTATAGGCATGTGTAGAATGTGGCACAGTGCAACTGGCAGTTTATGTGCTGTACCTTAGTCCAAAGCCACACTGAAATGCATCTAAAACATTTTTGGAGGTTAGGTATTTCTGGACTAAAGTCACTAATAATTTATTCATGTAGCATTGCTCAGAAAGGACTAATTAGGAACCAGGCAGTAACTGTTAGGTATGCATTGGATTCTTGGACACAGGATGAAAAATCAGATGTTTCAGGTTGGTAGGCTGAAGAAATGTTCTTCTTGAAGGAATCATTGATGATCCCCACCAGCAGAGGGCTCAAAAATGTGCCTGGGGGGCTTTAATAATCATGGGTCCATTTTTCAATAATGACCTAGGTTAAATTCTTCCACCGCTTTTCTATGACTAAAGTGAACTTCAACAGGAAAGACTGTGTGTTCCTCAGAGCTGGTGAGCGTCATTCATGTATTTAGGTTTTTCCCCAAACAGAATAGCCCGTTTCAGCCTGCAGTGGTGTGGAGACAGTTTAGCTTGATGAGAGAACCTGGTATCCAGAAGAATGGAGCTGGATAAGGCAAAACAGATATGACTGCTTATAAAGGACCATTTGGTCCCCTTCACAGCTGTGGCATGTGATAATTCAAACTCCTTATGCCGCAGATGAAAAACCTAACCAGACACAGATGGGGATTTAATATTTTTAGAAACAGTATTTCAAAACATTTACAAGAGGAAGAGAAAAAAGATCTCAGTTTTGGAGATTAAAACTGCTATTTATTAAATTAAATACTTATCTGAATTAGATTTAAAAAGAATAAATATTTGCTGTTCTCCAGAGCATTATTTTCATAGATTCCCTTTTCAGAATCTACCTCCTTCTTGGACTGGCCTGAAACCAGTATAGGGAATAACACATTCAATAAGAGTACAAAGCAACTGCTCTCAAGTCCTGTTTCTAAACCAGCCCTCAGACCCCTCCTTCTTTAGACTCCTTGGCATTTGTAGATACATGGGGGTTTAGATTGAAGCGGTGTTTTTTTAAAAACACCGCTTCAATTTAGGGCAAAGTAAACCCCTCTGTCGTGTACACCCGTGTCCTTACCTGTCTCTCCAGTGGCAGGG